AATAAAAATGAATATTTAAAAAAAAAAAAAAAAAAAGTAAGACGAGCGTTATTGATTTATATTCCCGCCGCTTTCACAAACAAAGAGGTCATGAGAATATCCAACCCGTCCCGTCGGTGCTGGCTTGCATCTTGCTCAACCGCGCACCGCATGCCTGGCACAGCATACCGCACGATGATGCAGTCAGCCGTATTGCTGTCCCGAGGGCGCGGACCAGTCCCAACTCTGCCAGTCTGGATATAACTCGAGGCACCCTTGCGAAGCATGGTTACCGACAGATGGATACCCCAAAAAAGGTAGCTATCGACAGAGAAAGAAGAAAAAAATTGGCACAGGACAAGACGAGACCAGCCAACAATGCCCGCCTTTTTCGGTTGTTCCGTGATACATGTGTCTACCAGGACAGTGGCGGTGTGCCATGTCTACTAAGCTACCTCCTACGAAGAGAGAAAAACTGCCGACACGCAAGTTTTTCCTGTTAGAGACATAAACAGCCTGCCGTTTTAACTATCATCACTGTTTTTTATTAATTATTCCCTTTTTTTCTTCTGGGTCCGTAATTCTTGAAAATCAGTTCCCATTTCATTGGATGCCAAATACGCGGCAAGCTGCATGTCTTTGTGCTGTCGTCGCCCTCTGCGGAGAAGGAAGGCTTGCCGTGCCACGCGAGTCGGTGGAGCTTGAATTGATGCGATGCGACAGTTATGATACCACCTCTCGTCGATACACGTACTACGTAGACGGTGATTCTATCTTTCATGCAGTGCAAGTCGTTCATGTAAAAAAGTGTAACCCTATCAGAGACCAAGGAGGGCGAGGTGGTCTAGGCCCTAGGTGGTGTCGGCGTTGTTGAAGACTGGAAAACAATCAAGGGCAGGTTTTTAGTATAATTCGTCCTCGAATAAAGTCGAACGAGTAAATTATAAAAGAATATCAAGAATTCTGCAACGACTTCTAGAGCATCTCACTTTGGCCTTGCTGGCGGGCGTTTCCCCCACTTGTTGCTCGAACGACTCCACGTTTTCCGATCTTTGTCGACGTAGCTTTGTCAATTATTATTTATAGCGCCAGTTCGCAACAGAGCATCAAAGCTTATTATTCACACTTGACTCTATGTACTTTGAGCTATCTGTATACCTAGGTAGTCTACCACGGAATCCAGGACGCTCGCGCTCCGGCTTGGATAGTCAGCACTGCTTTCCACTCGTCTTATGATCCAGGTCTAAGAAGTGTCCTCCCATGGAAGGTGACTGACGCCGCCGGTGTCGGCCCCATAAAATTTTCCCGTTGACTGCCCTTGAGCTCGACCACACGTCTTGATCAGCCCCGCTCTCGATCTCGACCTTTTCAATCAAGCAACATCATTTGAAGTGACTCGCCTCCCTCAGTTTGAACATCACTTGCCATAACACGCACTCTACCCTCAATTGGCTCCATCAGTTCCATCGAGCTCAAAATCGAAACGAACTAACAAACGCAACGATCGTGACGAGCGGCGATAACAAATACTCCAACATGGCTGAAAAGAAGACGGACGCCCCGGCAACCAATATGCTCTGGGGTGGCAGGTTTACAGGTTCAATTATTCCCGGACACAAGCTTCAACTCCTGTATACTAACCCTGCGATGCCCAGGTGGGATTGATCCGCTTATGCACAAGTACAATGCCTCTATTGGATACGACAAGGCTCTCTACAGAGAGGACATTCTTGGATCGATTGCTTTCGCCAGGGCCAACTCAAAGGTCGGCATTATCACCCAAGACGAATTCAAGATGATCGAGCGTGGTCTGCTTGAAGTGATGGAGGAATGGAAGCAAGGAACCTTCGCTATCATGCCGAATGACGAAGACGTGAGACGCTGGCCCAAGCCATTTGACTTCCCGAGCGCTAACTAAATCAGATTCATACTGCAAACGAGCGTCGATTGGGAGAGGTCATCGGAAAGGACACTGCTGGCAAGCTGCACACAGGTCGCAGTCGCAACGAGCAAGTCGTCTGTGATATGCGCATGTGGCTACGTGACCGCATCCGTGAAATTGACAGCCAACTCGTTGCTTTCCTTCAAGTCCTCACCAAACGCGCCGAGGCTGAAATGTAAGTTCAGCACTGCATCCGCACAAAGCCCCTCATTGAGTAACATCCCTAGCGACTACCTCATGCCCGGCTACACCCACTTACAACGCGCGCAGCCAGTTCGCTGGGCTCAGTGGATAATGTCACACGCTGCTTCGTTTAAACAGGATCTCGAGCGATTGCGCCAGGTCTTTGAAAGGGTCAACCTTAGCCCACTTGGCTGCGGCGCATTAGCTGGTAATGTGTTTGGCATCGATCGAGACGCAATTGCCGCGGAGCTCGGTTTCAGCGGAATCACCTCGAACTCTATGAACACTTCAGGCGACCGTGACTTCATCATCGAGTTCCTGACGTGGAACTCGATGTTCACCAGCCATGTCAGCAGGTGGGCTGAAGATCTCATCTTATACTCCACTGCCGAGTTTGGGTTTTGTCGTTTGGCAGATCTTTATAGTACCGGCAGCAGGTTCGTTGCATCCCCATCACGACTCAGACAATTCCACAAGACTCTAATCCACATTCAGTTTAATGCCGAACAAAAAGAACGCCGACAGTTTGGAGCTCTTGCGCGGCAAGTCAGGCCGTGCTTTCGGTCAAATGGCTGGGCTGATGATGGTGAGTTCGAATACAGACATATCAGCTCATGAGTGATCAGGAGCGGATCAAGAGCAGCCATTAACAGATACCTGATAGAGCGTCAAAGGCTTGCCAACTTGCTACAACAAGGACCTTCAGGAGGGATGGGAACCCATGCTAGATTCGGTCCAAACTGTTTCGGACAGTCTGGGCATCGCCAACGGGGTTATCGCCACCATGACCGTGCGACCTGAGCGGATGTTAGCTGCCCTAGATAAGACGATGCTTGCCACTGATGTTGCGGAGTGGCTGGTGCGAAACGGATGTCCTTTTAGGGAAGCTCATCACATTTCTGGACGTGTTGTTGCATTATCGGAAAATACAGAGACCTCGATGGATAAGCTAACCCTGGAGCAACTGCAAGCCATTGATTCTCGATTCACGGCGGACATTGTGAAGGCATTCGAATATGAGTCGAGCGTTGAGGCGAAATCGGCTAGGGGCGGTACTAGTCGATCAGCCGTGCTGCAGCAGATTCAGGAACTTCAAGCTATCTTGGTCTGATGGCCCGGTGCAGGATGAGGGTGGAGTAAGGGATTTGAGCATGGACATGACGAATTGCGCTTCATTCTGTGGAAAGAGATATGTTTTGAGAGTCTATTCACATCAAAGACAAAAAACCGAACAGAAGTCTGCTTCAAGAAACTCGTACAAAACATCTGTAGACGAACTGGAGATGAGGGGAGATGTTCGAGATGAAGATGGCTTCGTCCATACCTAGCTGAAAGACATATTTGATTCGAATCGTCCATGGCATACCGTGACTGTGTATATCGTCCGGTCGTTGAACCACCCAGGAGCCGTCAATGAAATCGACCTCAATAGTCCGAAAGCAGGGATCATCAATGTTAGCGCCACCTGAAGTGGCCCTCAAAAAGTTGCGCAACTCTTTATCTCTTCAATCTGCTTACACCCCCAGTTTCGCTCCCAGACTCCACCTTTATCCAATGCCGCAGCTCGTGCCCGCTAGCTTCAATTCTTCCTCGATAGGCGTTCGACTACGATTACTCGAAAGGTTCCCCTTCGCCCCCCCCCCCTCCCCCCACACACGGACTCGTCGTACATACTACGCTCGGCACCGTCAGCTTTACATATGCCTCGTCACTCATGATCGCGCGATCGGCACTGTCGCGGGCCAACCCGCGACCGACAACGCTCCTTCCCGGCGCCCTCGCAGCTTCCCTTACCGCCGCTGCCGCCAAGAATCAGGCCACTGCACGCCCCAGACCCCTCCGGTGCATGCTGCCGGCGCATCATTGCCATCGCTACAGGATGCTCTCCACCACCACCGCCGCCGCCGCCGCCGCCGCCGTCGTCACGCTCCCGCGCCTCCCCATTCTCGAGGCCGTGGCCGCCCACGACCCCGCCTCCACCGCCGTCGTCCACGCCCTATCGGGCCGCCGCTTCACCTATGGCGAGCTCCTCGGCGACGTCAGCCGCGCACGGGAGCGCCTGCGCGAGGCGGTCGGCGGGAAGCCTCTTGCCGGCGAGCGCGTCGCCTTTTTGATTGAAAATAGCTACGACTATGTCGGTATGTCTATTCCACAACCCCCATCCCGTCCCCTCCCCTCCCCCTTCTCACCTCTGTCGTCTCCCGCCAGCGTCACACAGCAAAACCAATCACAATCTTTGAAGAAGAAGAAAAGCCAACCATGTTGCGAGAAAAACAACGATTGCTAAAGCAAAATGTCGCCAGTCATGTTCCTAGCCGTCTTGGCTGCTCGCGCCATTGCCGTGCCCCTCTCGCCGCCGTTTCCCGTCCCAGAGCTGCAGTACATTCTCGATCAGAGCGCCGCCTCGGTCCTCGTCGCCTCGCCCAAGTTTGCCGCCAAGGCCACCGAGGTGCTCGCGACAGACCTGAAGCAAAAGCCGGTGTACTTTGAGCTTCCCAAGCATACGGGCGGCGGCGGCGCCACCGAGGCCGTGGCGTTGGCGGACGAAGACGTATCCGGTGCTGGCCTGATGTTGTATACTTCAGGCACCACCAACCGACCAGTAAGACATACGTCAAGAATCAAACATCGCAATCCTCACTAATACATGTTCTAGAAAGGCGTATTGCTGCCCGAAGAAGTGCTTACGGCGCAATGTCGCTCTCTCCACCAAGCATGGCAGTACTCGTCCGCCGATCATCTCCTCCATGTCCTGCCCCTCCATCACATCCACGGCACCGTCAACGCGGTTCTGACGCCTCTATTCGCCGGGTCCTCCATCGAGTTCATGTTTCCCTTCAACGCCGACGCCGTCTGGAAGCGCTTCGCCGCACCCTTTCTCCCCACCAACGGCACCACCAGTAGTACCACGCCCCCCGTCACCTTCTTCACTGTCGTACCTACCGTCTACAGCCGCCTCCTCGCCAGCCACAAGGCCCTCTCCCCCGCCATGCAGGCCGCCACGCGCGAGGCCCTCGCCCCGCGGCACCTCCGCGTCAACATCTCCGGGTCCGCCGCGCTTCCGACCCCCGTCAAGGCTGCCTGGGCCGCCCTCAGCGGTGGCAATGTGCTCCTCGAGCGCTACGGCATGACCGAGGTCGGCATGGCCCTCAGCTGCGGCCTCGCCTTTGCCGACCGCGTCGACGCCAGCGTCGGCTGGCCCCTGCCTTCCGTCGAGGCTCGCCTCGTCGACATGGATACGGGCGCTGTCATCGAACCCGGCTCCGACGTCGATGCCCACGGCCGCGAGCGCCCCGGTGAGATCCAGCTCCGCGGGCCCACCGTCTTCCGCGAGTACTGGCGCAACCCCGACGCCACCGCCAAGGAATTCGTCAACGACGACGGCGACGGCCGCGGCAAGTGGTTCAAGACGGGCGACGTTGCCGTGCGCCGCCGCGTCGACACCGCCGGCCACAGCAGCGCCACCACGCAGCATCAGAGCTGGGCGCGGGGACCCATGTACTTTATCCTGGGCCGCAAGACAGCCGACATCATCAAGACGGGCGGCGAAAAAGTCAGCGCTCTCGAAGTCGAGCGCGAGCTGCTCTCGCTGCCCGAGGTCGCCGAGGCCGCCGTCGTCGCCGTCCCCAGCGGCAGCTGGGGCCAAAAGGTCGGCGCCGTCGTCATCCTCGATCCAGAGCACGCCACCCGGTGGACGCCCCTCGAGATGCGCCGCGCCCTCAAAAGCAGGCTCGCTGCCTACAAGATCCCCCAGGTCATGAAGATCGTCGACCACATTCCCCGCAACGCCATGGGCAAGATAAACAAGAAGCAGCTCGTCAAGGCCGTCTTTGTCGACGAAACGAGTGGCGACGAACTGTAGCCGACTAGCAATCACGTGCCATTGTATATAATGATCCAAAACACATACTTGGTAAGGCTGCCTTCTCCCAGCGAGATCGCCTGTACAACCGACCCAAGCTTCAGATACATTCTTGTACAAAATTATTCGATTTAACGACGGACAAGAGTATTAGAAATCTATTTTGGTAGCCACGCATGATGACCCAGTATCTCCTACCTCAAATAGCCCCTAATGCGATCATGAATAAACTTCCTAGCAACGCCGCCATGATACTCACAAGACAAGAAAGACAATTTTCTCTCTTCCCAATCAATCCTGATGTGGCCTAGGCCGGTCCTCAGAAATCTCACTAGTGCGGCAGACTCGGTTTCTGCACAATGCAGCCTGCCTCTCGTCGTCTTCCAATTTTGAGAACAAAAAACAGCGCATTATTGCGCTGCAGCTCAGACTCGCAAAAAAGGTTTTCTGGCTTCATTCAAACGACGTGCTTAGCCTTGGCTCTCGTGCTACCAGCATGGGCGCTGTCCGTGTGTCCTGAAAAGTCGACCTGCTCGCTGTTGGGCAGCTCTAGAACCTCTTTGAAGCGTCTGCCAACGCTCATGAGTATCTCGCGGCCCTTTTCGTTCGAACGGCCCTTGCCACCGGCAACATCACCATCTCCGCGGCCAGGGATACTCTTACCAATGGTACGAGTCCAGACACCAATACGATAGAAAGCCTTGCGGACATTGACAACTACGCCCATGACCTCACCATCCTCTTCCTCCTCGAGAGTCTCGCCAATAGCGGCCATGACAACCTGCAGCCAGAGACGATCGACGTCGACGTTGCGCTTGTCCTTGTATTGGTAAGACCACTTGCCACCGTGCTTATTCTGGGGGTCTTCCCACTCAGGTCGCACGCCGGCCTTGAATAGGTGATAGTCGGACTTGAGGGCGAGCTCCGAAACGGGAGCAACGTTGTTCTATTGATGAGTCAGATGGGAGATAGGCCTTGTTGAGAGGGATACACCTACATAAACACCCCAGAACTCCTCGACAGAGTCGAATGTAATCACTTCCTTGAGCAGGTCATTCCAGTTGTCGCTCTATCGCATCATGTTAACAATCAGATACCAATCAGGCGCACTGAAACTTGTGCATCGATGAGTACCTTTCCGCTTGGGGGCTTCGTGAACCAAAGGGTCCATTTGTTCTGAAGCGGGTGCTTGACGTTGAAGTTATCCTTGTCGTGGAACACGGTGACCGGCTTGCCCGAGTCAACAGCATCAGATTCTTCTTTTCCGTTCGGGGAGATGGGAATTGTAGACAAATCGACTTGTTTGTCCATGTTGGTGGCTTCTGCGGCGGCGGTAGCCATGATTGCCGTGTGTTGTGTGGTGGATAGAGGAGTAGAGATTCGGAAAGATGAGAGTCGGGTCGCAATATGCAGCAGGGTGCAGAGGTCGACCAAAAATGCAGACGCAGGAAGTAGCTCTGCTTCGTTCCTTCTTCGTCGGTGTTGTTGCGGCTCTGCACCAGGCAAAGCAGTCAGAGAGAGGGCGGTCGGGTGGGGGTTGAGGTGATGCGAAATTAGAGAAGGTAGGTATGAGGCTAAGTCCTGCTCACATTTGAATAGGACTTGGCCGCTGCGAGAAAAATTATTGGCGGTTGCGCCACTCGTGGCTGGTGGCGCCACAAAATAGTCGGCAGCCACAAACCACATCACGGTTTTACTTTGATATTGTCGCTGCAGCAGACAGAAATGATCTAAGAACCTGTAGACAGCGAACCTTATCTTAATTGAAAATTCTGAGCTGACTTTGCTGAGCTCCAACTGCGCCAGTTGGTGCACAACTACGATCGGAATGCTCGTCCCGCTACCCTGGATATAATAAGGACGGTGTGTGCTCAGTACAGTGTAGTCGCACCCAGCATGTTGAAGTTCGGTAATAAGTTTATGCACCATTGTTTCTCTTCGCATATGATATTTATTCTATTGCTGCAGTGCTGTGTCTACTGCGATATGTCAGGTACGGGCTAATTCATATTGTCAGCTGCCGCGCATGTTGGCTACGTCTTTTGACATGACTGATCTTAAGAGCTTTTAAAATGTGCTCTCTCCAACCACGGCTTAAAAATGAAGCTCCTTAATGAAAGAAAAAAAACCTCTCAAACCAGACAGACAGGCAATAGAAGGTAGTCTGACTGTATGTTTTCTGGTTTCCGCGAACCGACAACTGCCAATCAACGCGCTTGATTAAAAAAGAAGAAACGCTGGTCCACACAGGGATTGAACCTGTGACCTTCGCATTACCATATATTGGTGGTTGATTACCGATATTAGTACGACGCTCTAACCGACTGAGCTAGTAGACCCACGTGATTTGATGGCTGCGACTTACGATATTGATATTTACATAGCCTATGATGCCTATGGACACGACATACACTCTGATTTTCGATCTTCGGCCACTCTATTCTCTCGCACGGATTACTTGTGGCTGCATCCATATGGGGTGCTTTTACCGTGTCTTTTGGCCTTGCTCAATCGCTACATGAACATGTGCAATTTAACCGAATCACTAAAGTTTTCAAGCAGAGTTAGTTCATCAATGCACACAACTCAAATGTTGTTAGCTAGTCAACGCTTTATACTCTAATCCTTATCCTGCACACTATCTTCATTAGTCCGGGCTGGCTTATAAGTTATGAGCCACCCACAGGCACAGCCGAGCGTTTCCCCCTGGCACGCTACGGGCCGCCGCTGTAATGAATCCACCAATCCACCAACGGCAGGTACGGAGTACAGTGGATAGGCAGGTATTACCAGTACCTTATTACGGTGCCAGTCACTGCTCAGCCACTTTATTGTTGAGGGCGCGTAGCCAGTGTTTCAGAGTAGCTTCTTGGTCTACAATTCTCATGGTCGAATTTACTCGTTCACAATTGCATCCATTATCCATGGAGAAAAAAGAGTCACGAATACTATCAGCTGCCAGCAACGCCTTCATCACTGCTCCCACAGTATCCGGCTCGATGGATGCCGTATGTAGGCCTTACCCTTGTCCTGCAGCTCAGACGCCTAGAACCTTGCTCTCCAGCCACCTCATTTTGCTGTGTAACTCGACGCAGCCCGACGCCTCTCGACCCATCAGCTCAAGTTGACTCTTCCTAATGCTGCCCGACCGCTTCTTCCACCTGCGTTCGATGCTTGCTCTTCCTGCAAGTCATTGACTCAATACCTCTTCGACCATCCATACTGCTACCTGATCTACCACTGCTGCAAGTAACTGTCGGCTGGCCCCGTCGTCAGTCTGGCCATCCTGGATGTCGCAGTGAGTGGTTCACAGCTAACCGCGCTTCGCCAGTGCTCCTGCTACAACTCATCGTTGAGACTTGCTGTGCTTCAGCCTCTACATAATCCTTTCGTGCATTTTAACCTTGGCCATCGTGCCAAGCTGGGCCCTTCAGCTTACCGAAGCTCCACCTTGTCCATCTCAAGTATCCGAGCGATAGTTACTGCCTGCTCCTTGCCGTCTCAGGCGTGTGCCGGGGTGCGTTGAAGTCTGGTCTGCAGGTTTAACAATCTGCCTGGCCGGAGCTTTGCGTGCGGATACTCAGCCCACACTGCATGTACATAACTTATTCTGCATTTGCATTATTTCTATAGGATACTCACCGGCCTTGTTCCTCGACTTACGCGGCCGACATGTCGGCCCAAAACTGGGGCGACCTGCCCAAGCACAAGAGAGGCGGTCACCAGCGCCGGTCTAGCGAGTACGAAATCCCCCCGACTGAACAGAGACAATCTTTGGATAGTCAACCTCCACGACGGACGAATCGTGCATCGATACAAACGGCCTATACCGAAGCCCCTTCCGAATCAATATTTGCGCCTGGTTCGCCAACCGCCTCCTGTGTTACTCCTCAGGGTTTGGCTCCACGACCACCATCATACCAGAGGGCTGGCTTCACAGACTTCGCTCCGGACAGCTCCGATCATAAGCCACGTCGGATGCCGTACGACGAGGACGAATACTTCTTGCAAGCCTCCCCATCCCTGCCAGAAGCGCCCGATCTCCCTCGCGGACCGCCAGTCAGCTTTCGAGAGCCATACGTGCCAATCGCGATGCCCCAGACTATGGCCACCAGGCACGACCCAGTATCGCGCTATCAGCCTCATACAGGTAACTCGAACGAACAGTCGTACTCTGCATATCCTGCTATGCCTCTGGAAACAGCTCATGCGCCAATGACTGCTTCCGCCGCCGACGATGCTCGCCGTGGCGTCGCTGATGTTTCTGGGCAACCTCGAAGGACTTCTACAAGCACAACGTCTGATCGACGCAAAATGTTGGCCACCAATCGATCACCGCTGCAAAATCTGGAGCTGACGCTGGACAGCATGACAAAAGAAGAAAAACGAGCCCGCGTGGAAGCTGCAGAGCAACGAGCTAGGCAGCGGGCAGCCAAAAATGACCAGGCTTCGTCTGGCTCTGCTCCCGCCAACGGCCCGATTACGCCTCAAGATGTCGGCACCAGACAGCCCATACAACAAGCTTTACCTAGGCAGCAGGCTGTCGAGAAGGCCGCCGCTCAAAGGCCACGGCCTGCAGCGCATCGCGACTGGACACAGCAAATGCAGCCAGATAGCCAGACACCCTTTTCGACCAAGCAGCAACCGGCAGAAGAGCCTGATCAGCCACAGGGCCAACCTTCCTCGAATATACCCCAACGAAACCTAAGCTTCAAGGATCGTGCTGCCAGATCGCCCGTTGCTCCCCGAGATGCGGAGATGCTCGACCCTATAAAGCAAAGGGCCTCGCCACTGGCACCCCCCAATACGGTGAATCGCACAGGAAGTAATCGAATCGGACAAGAGCCGCAAGACAAATTTCAACAGTATCGTCGCATTGCCTCCGAAGCAGTGCCTCGTAACTATTCCCCCCTGGTGCCTGTATCTGGCAATGCTCTTTCTCGCTCCGCCAGGAATAAGGAATTACCGCCAATTCCAGTATCTGACGACCGCAATGGCAATCACGGTATGAGAGACCTACAACAACAGCAAGCGACGAATGACGCAACTCCACAAGGCATTCAACGTCGGGCTACAGAGCCGAATTATGGCCGCCAATACGTGGCAGATCAGAGATACCCAGTAGCCCCGGCTCAACAAGAATTTCCTGCGACAACTCACTCTGGGGAACTGCACTCGGAAGATGGTATAGCTCTTGCCCGGAGGCGACTTGAAAGAGCTGACAGCGATGATGAGCCGACAAAAAAGAACCAACATCGTTTAGGCAACATGCTATATTCTGACCCGGATACCCTACGTCCTGGAGAAGGCTTGTATAAGCCGCCAGCATGGTTGGATGAGTGGGAAAAGGCAGCTGTTGGAACGCTGTCTGGGCCGCTTCTAGATGTCCACACAGAAAACTCCTCACAGGATGCTTACAGGGCATGGTGGGAGGGAGACAAAGGCCGCCACACCAATGCGACAGCTCGTCTCCGAAAGGCGGAAGCTTTTGACGGAGAGTATGATGATACCACTGAGCCCACGCGATTCAAGCCTCAACTCTACTTAAAGTGTGGCCCACTTCTGAGATACTGCGGTATACGCAAGGAAGCTATTCCCTCCAGATCGCAACGAGGCCATCCTGTATCGGAACGGGAAATGTGGCGTGGTAGCATCATGATTGTTACAAAAGACTCTGATTCTTCTTATGAAATCGCTCCAATGCTTCGCCTATTTGTGCAGGACATTGGCGTTTTGCCACCGGCTCCGCACCACATCAAAGGCGACCTATCACCGGAATATGTTGATCCCATAGCTGGCCATCCAAAACTCGGCCGCCGCGGAGAAACGCTTTACGTGCGTCCTGTCGAGCACTTGCAAGAAGGCAAGGATCTTTCAATGGACGAAACCGAAAATGGGTTATTCGAGATGACGCGAAGCCCCCCGGATGTGCAGGCCCCCGACGGTGCACCTGATCTTCCCGGGTCCTTTGCTAGCCGCAAAAACCGAGCGGGCCTTGATGGTGAGAAGGCGCAGAAATACAAGGACGTACGGGGTTTTCGACTCCATACCGAAAGAGGTTACACCTTTTGGCGCTTCAATGTCGAGATTGAGCTTCGACAAAAGCAGCAGCGTATTGCCTATCGCATAAATCGAGGACCATGCATGGCGTTCTGGGTACCTCCGAGGGGACAGACGATGAATATCATGTTTCACAGTTGCAATGGCTTCAGCTTGAGCGCGAAGCCAGATGACTTCAGCGGCCCGGATCCTATGTGGCGTGACGTTCTCAATACGCACCAAACGAAGCCATTCCACGTCATGATTGGCGGTGGTGACCAAATTTATAATGACTGTGTGGCCGATATATGTGAGCTGTTTGGAGACTGGCTCGATATGAGAAACCCCTTTGACAAACATCACACGCAATTTACTCCGGAGATGCAGAATCAGCTGGAGGAATTCTACCTGGAACGGTATTGCATGTGGTTCTCACAAGGTCTCTTTGGGTTGGCCACATCTCAGATTCCCATGGTCAACATGTACGATGATCATGATGTCTTTGATGGCTACGGCTCCTACCCTGACCACGACATGAAGTCACCGGTGTTTTCTGGCCTCGGCGCAGTTGCTTTCAAGTACTATATGCTATTCCAACATCAAAGTGTTATACCGGAAACGGAGACATCGGAGCCGAGCTGGATTCTTGGTCTCAAACCTGGTCCGTATATCCATGAGCTTAGCCGCAGTATCTACGTCTCCATGGGAGGCAAGACCGCCTTGCTTGCCGTGGACACACGTACCGAGCGAACAGAACATGAAGTCATTGACGAGAAGACGTGGGAGAAGATTACCAGCAGGTTGTACCTTGAAGTCCGCAAAGGGCAGGTCGAGCATCTCCTGGTCCTGCTCGGTGTTCCGATTGCATACCCACGAATGGTTTGGCTTGAAAACATCCTGACATCAAGACTTATGGACCCTGTCAAGGCTCTGGGGAGAGCCGGTGTTTTCGGCAAAATGCTCAACAACATTGATGGCGGCGTGGAAGTGCTGGACGATCTGAACGACCATTGGACAGCCAAGCATCACAAGCAAGAGCGAAGCATTATCGTGGAAGATCTACAAGACCTCGCCATGGACAAATCGGTACGAGTCACGATTCTCAGCGGCGATGTGCATGTTGCAGCTGTGGGTCAGTTCTACTCAAATCCACAGCTTGGACTGGTAAAGCACAAGGACCCGAGATATATGCCCAATATCATTTCGTCAGCGATTGTCAACACGCCGCCCCCGGACATCCTTGCCGATGTTCTCAACAAACGTAATAAAGTTCATCATTTCGATAAGAATACAGACGAAAACATGATTCCGTTATTCCAGCATGGTCCAGATGGCAAGCCTCGAAACAACAAGCATCTCCTGCCACACAGAAACTGGTGCTCCATTCGCCAGTGGTCTCCTGGGACTACGCCACCACCAACACCGCCTGCGTCTGATGAAGAGCGCAGTGCAAGTCCTCCGCGAGCGACAGGAGGTGGTGGAATGCTTCGACGCTTTTCACTCAGCAAGCGCTCGGGCCCAAAGCAATTCGACGGATCTCGCGAGTCGGTTCGCGGCCCACGGCCTCCGATTTCCGGTGGGCTATTTCGAAGCCTCACCAGAAGAAGCTCTGAAAAGGGCACCGCGTCACCAGTCAAAGTCTCAAGAAGCATGTCCCTCGGTAGTACCGATCGACCCAAAACGGGGATCATGGGCTTCATGCGTAGAGGCAGTCAGAGTAGGGCGGCTGCATCTGATGACGATGTTGATTCAATACCCCACTGGGGAGCATCAGCACAAGGTCGTTATCCTAGTCCTTATGGCCAGGCCCAAGACGAGCCTCTTGGTCTTCGCGGCGGCGCTCTCACGAATGATGAGTACTCGGATGGCGACGATGCTTACTTTACGCCGGGCCCTCCTCAGCTGGCGAAGACGGGGGGCAGTCAACCGGCAAGCGAGCCCTATGACGACCCAAGGATCAGGCCGTTCCATAGGACTCCCACGGGTCTTACAAGCAAGCAGATGAAGAAGGCACAAAACTTTTCAGTGGATCTCGAGGGCGGGTTGGATATCTGCTTGAATGTCGAGGTCAGCCCAAAAGACCCAACAGGTATCACAACACCATACAGAATTCTGGTGCCGCGGCTGTATTATGAATATGTTGCAGAAGAGGACTCGTTGGTGGAGACTCAGACTCAGTCCCCACCCCAGGCACAGCCGACTGGGTTCAAGAGGTTTCTAAGCTTTCGCAAGAAAGGAAACCCGCCGACCGCAAGATACGACGAGGAGCGTGATTCAGTGGGCGAGCCGGAGCAAGATTCTGAGGACGATTCAACCGAAGCAGGGACGGTTAGACGCCGCTACTGAACATATTAGGGCAGCATCCTGTTAAGCATGGCGTTTTGGTTCACAAGTACATGACGGTGTTGTCGAGATTATGCACATAGGAAAGAAGTAGAGTTTGTCAATTAGCACCTAAGTAGTATTTATAGCACAGCTATGCTGTACAAGGATTTCTCTTTGCCGTTGACCACTTGCATGTTGACCGACTATTCCCAGATTTACATAGCGATTTTGCGCCGCCCCTGATCTAAGTCGCTATTCAATTAGTAAGTGGCGCTCTCGAAAAGGGTGAAGCCCAGTTCTTTGGGCTGCAACACGGCGTACCTACTCCGTACCTCCGTATTTAGTATCCGTTGGTAGGCATGCATGGTGGGGACGCTTAATCGGGCCACCACGTCGCGCAAGTCATCTCGAGACATACTCTCCCTTTCCTTTTTAAATAGCTTGCATTTACGGCTCAGTTGATATTCTTTACTCTTGTTCGGCTCGTGGGAAAGACGCCTAATTGAAATTGACCAGAGTCACTCCTTCATCTCATTCATGCAGGTGATGGCCTAACGTGCCACCCCCCGAAAGCCGCGCCAACCCCCCCCCCCTTTGCGGAGAGCCGACAGGCCGCAGCTTTGATCTGCGGACAGCAGCGACTCGACACGGAAGCCCGCCTAGTGCCGACGCGATACATACTACGGCATGGCAAGAGGATTCGATCGCAATAGTGCCTCGGATGTGGCCAAGCGACAAGCGCAGAGAGCCCTGGCTTGGTTGCAAGGGCCCGGATTCAGGGCTGCGACAGCTGTGACTCTGACTGTTGCGCACCAGGTGCGCAGGAATTTGGTCGCCAGGAGGCTCTTCAGTCTGCCGCATGCGCTGGTTGCTATCTGGATAGTCATTCTATTCTGGGGTGAGCGGTGGGTGTTTGACAGCAAGGTTGAGAACTGCAGCTGGGATCATTGGGAACAATGGGTAAGTGGTTTCTTGCGCGACAGAATGGCGTCGGTTGAATCCACGAAACTGACAAGAGCAACGGATAGCCCAAGGGAACACACCCGCACCGCTTGGTTCTCATTGCAGATCCCCAAATCACCGATCCGCACTCATACCCAGGCCGTCCGTGGCCGCTCTCGACGCTGACGGTAACAATGACCGACAATTATCTCCGACGAGGCTACAAGGCGCTCCAGAACCACCTCCGACCTGATAGTGTTTTTTTCCTTGGAGACTTGTTTGATGGTGGCCGCGAATGGAAAACGCGACAGGAAGGGTTCGTCGACCCGAAATGGGGCAAGGAACGATCTGGAGAGGAGAAGAAATGGGTCAAAACATGGCATCGCAAGTACGGCGAGGACTATTGGGTGCGAGAGTACCAGCGCTTCGGCGAAATATTCTTTGACAATTTCAATTTGGGAGGCAACGCACCAGGTCCGTACCAGAGAGGACGTCGCCTGGTCGCCAGCTTGCCCGGAAACCACGACCTCGGTTTTGGCGCGCAGGTGCAGATTCCGGTGCGCAATCGGTTCAGCGCCTACTTTGGCGATGTCAACCGCGTGGACGTTGTGGGAAATCACAGTATTGTCTCGGTTGACACGGTCTCACTGAGCGCCGACAGTTCGGAGTACCGGTCGTCGCACGACCTGGAGCCCATCTACGGCCCTGTTAACGAGTTTTTGGAGCAAGTACAGTCAACGAAACGCAGACTTGCAATGGATGAACTCAAAGTATGGCATGATATTGATCGTGATTTCCGCTTCCAGCACCAGGTTGTGGATCTTGAATCGTCGGACACGACCCGATCGCCCAGAGACCCCGGTCCCGGCCATGCCGAGTTCCCCACGATTCTGCTCACGCATGTGCCGCTTTATCGCAATCCTGGAACTCCTTGTGGTCCCATGCGCGAACATTGGCCGCCGGCGAAGCGACCCAAGGGCCAAAGCGAACCTGTCAACCCCGACGACCGCAACGCCATTAGCGTCGTCGCTGGCTACCAGTACCAGAATGTCCTCAGCGAAGAGGACTCTGTCAAGTTGATCAAGAGTGTCGGCAACGTTGTGCACGTGTTTTCCGGCGACGACCACGACTACTGCGAGCTGGTCCATTCTGAAGCCAAGGGTGGGGTGAGAGAAATTACCGTCAAGAGCATGAGCATGGCCATGGGAGTAAAGAATCCCGGTTTCCTCATGCTCAGCATGTATAACCCCGTCGACGCCGATGGCAGGCCCATGCCCGGTGCGCCCAAAACCACGATTCAAACGCACTCGTGTCTGCTCCCGAACCAGTTTCACACGTTTATGCGATATGTTCTCTTTGCCTTTCTATCTCTCGGCGTGCTCGCCGTCCGCGCGTTCCTTGTGCCGACGCTCAACCTGACACCCTTTGCGCTGGAGCCCGAGCAGGGCGGCAGCCGCGGCTCCGGCTCCTCACTCCTGCCCATGTTTAAAGACAAGGCGGAACCGCCAGAGTCGCGCGTGCACGGCTCCGCCCACGGCATGTCGTCCACGAGCAGGATGTCGGCGGGGACCTCGACCGTCTCGCGCAGCAGCACCACCTCCAACGGCTCGGCGGCGCGCTGGCCGGCC